CGATTCGTTTATCGTGGGTATTTTCTCCATTTTACTAGCATTCCCCTACCACTTAGCAATGTTTATTTTAATATGTTAGTTTAATACTAGCAGTATGTAGTGTGTAATATTTGCAAAACAGCTTTCCTTCTGATATTTAAAAAGGATCTAAGAAATTTCTGGTGCCTAAATTCTGTGAAGGGCGTGAGTCGTTTAAGCCGGCCTTACACAATACCCAATTTCTGCTACTTTCTGTTATACTCATGTGTACAACAGAAGGCGTACAAGTTTCTATAGCAGAAGGGAAGAAAGAACGCGTTCGCTCATACCCATACATTACCTTGAGTGCTAATAGCAACTTGTAAATGGCAGGCAAAACAACTCGCAGGGGACAGGAGTTCACATGCAACCAAATTTTGTATGTAGGCTCTTTGTGGTGCATCCGAAACGTACGACGATTGTTTCCTGTTTCCCCCGAGGACTGTATTGGTTTAGATTTTAACGTAAGAGAATTATTAATGTACGGAAAATAACATGAGTTACGGCACTCCTTATTTATGGAAAACAAGACACTGTATTCACATGTTTGTACGACGGACATTTACGCCACTCATTAAAATATTGGTATATTATTTAAACAATGACGTAGCTAGGAATTTACTCGGGACGGGGAAGGGAGAGAGATAGTTCATAGTTCTATTTTTGAACATAATACAAAACCTGTATTATTAGAATTTTATACTTACATATTTAACTGTAATCGATGGGTCCATGTACAGATATGGAACCACAAAATGCTATAAACATTCTTCATGTTCAAGGAAGATCACATATGTCTTGAATTAAAATAAAATACCACTTGTAATTTTGTTTTAACTTTTATTTTCATTTCGGGGGGGGATATGTCCCAATATATCACCCCCTCCCCTATCCCAATATATCACCCCCTCCCCTACCACCACCGGCTACGCCACTGTTTTTTAATGTGTATTTTTAATGAGCATAATAATCAATCTTGTGCTCTCCGTTATTAACATGCCTTTACGGTTATACGACCAAAATAAGACAGAACTGTTACAATATTAAACTTAAAGCTTTAATTTGTGATTGTTAACATTACTCATGATATACAGCTCAAATTATCTACTTTAGAAACCAATCGATGTGATTAGCAAACAACCCGTGCTCATAGATTGTACTGTGCTGGTACTTGCGTATTATTACTTTTAGACACATGCGTATTATTACTTTTAGACACAGATCTCCTGGAAATAAACATTTTGCAACAATAAAATAAGTTATAAACAAACATAATGTCACATAAAAAAACTCGCTACACATCGAAGATTTGAACGTGTATTTTATAAAGTGGTGTTTATTAATTTATTATGATTGTGTGAGTAATATGCAACGTTTCCCGTTACTTATGCGTGCATTAAGTTTCATTTTGTACATACATATGTTTTACAGAACTTGAAATCTTTTCATAGACGGGCATATACGGCTTTGAGACAGGAACTCGAGAGTCAGCCATCTTGTCTGTCCCAGTTTGTGTGTAAAGCAGACATTCAGAATACGTTCTACTGTTGTGGCATTCTGACTGGGGGGGGGGGGGGGCAGAGATGGAGTATATGTGAGAGAGAGGTAGTTGTCAATGTGGCAACGCTGCCAACATTCCCCACGCACACGCCACTAAAATGGACTAGCGCGACCTGGTGTTCATCCCTCGAACTACAGATTCGTACCTGCTGGAGTGGTCAGAAAATTTAACCTGGGGAAGTTCACTCTAAGTATATCTTTACTCAATGACATTACTACGTCTTCTTTTCTTTAGCTGTAGGCTTACAATAATTTCTGGACTCCAATCCAGGACTTTTTTTGGAAGGTGTTTTTTTTAGTAAATAACTTAAATAAATATATTTTTTTGTTTAGTTATTAATCATTTTGTTCCAATTAGTTAAAATATATTGGTTTAAAAGTAACGTAATTATTTTCCACATTATTATGTTTAGAGTAAAGATGTCAACTTAAAGTAGGCACAAAAACGTCCAAACATTTACTTAGAACTGGGTTCTGCTATTACAACATCTGTACCATCGGGTTCTTGCTTTTGCCTTGGAGTTGGAAGGGTGTAATATTTCTCAGATTATAGAACGCTTCCAAGGAACACCTTACCACTTTTAATTTTTTCTTAAAAGTCCACACAATACATCATTGAATTAACTTTTATGTTGAGTAACTCCCTTACAATAGAAACGGACATTCTTCCCCTCTCCGCTGTCCAAACGTTTTCCATTATAGAAAATACGAACGAAGTAAACAACGGCTTGTCAACGAGCGCTTGCCAATGTCGACTGTCTGACTGTCTTCTGCTTTGTTTTGACGGTCTAGCTGAGTATCGCTGCATGCAATGTTGCCAACCGCTAAATCGAAACAGAGCGAAATTTCCCGGCTGCCCGGTCTTTCATTGAGATATCCTAAAATCCCAGACATTCGTTAAACCCGGACACATGCTTGAATCCCGGACTGTCCGGGCTAATCCCGAACGTGTGGTAATCCTATTTATCTGGCAAAGGGAGGATTCTATGGCCCGATTCCATCTCACCATGGCGAAGCTTCGCTGGCGTTTGTACTAACCTGGTTTTAGGATGTTAAGTGATAGTTGCAGCCACACGAGTATACCGCCGACAATAGACGGAACATCAACAGGAGAAGTGACGTCGAAATAGGTAGCCATTTAATTCAATATTTTACGTAGATTGAAAACTTCGTAGTAATATTTTTGTATGTGGCTACATAAACAGGAAATTCGTTTCTGCGTCTCTCCACCTCAGCAAATACATTAAACCTGCGCGATACTGTCATGTACATTGTGATCGATAATCCGTAATCTATTTTTCACTATAAACCTACAACAAAACATATTTTCAATTAATCAAATGTATTGCAACAGTATGTTTTATGTATGGTGACGGTTGGGCGTATGTAATGTTTTAATTATGTATATAAATGTATTTTATTTACTGTCATACTTAATTTTGTGGGCTCAGTATAAAGTTCCTTTCACTATTATTCGTACTGCTAATTTTCTTTAAAGCCACTTAATATTTAATTTAAAAGAGAGAGGGAAACGATGGAGAGGTGATTAGAATATCTTACAGATAAACTGCTAAAATTTTCTGCTATCCGCCTGCTGCATTTCAACAGAATTAACCTTAGTTAAAATAATAATAACGGTAACCTTGCTTTTAAGTTTTGAGAGCGTCAGAAATATTGTACTATAATATAATTAAAAAAAAAAAACTGAAAAATATAACATTGGCTACCGACAGTCTACCGTTAGACATTGCGGCAATACGGTACAAGAAACACACATTACGTATTTTTTCATGTGCATAGTTTATTTACTTTGCGGCATTTAGCACAGATGTTTCGCAAACAATAACGTTTAAGGAAAAAATGTCACATTTTCCCGCCCGGGATCGAAACGAGTATCTTCCGTGTGTTATTCTGAAGTTAAAAGATAAAATACCAATATTGAGATTTGGAAATAACGGCTCTCAATGACGGGGTAGAAAGACATGTTTTTGGTTACGGCGTGTGTGTTCGAAATTTCGAAGCGGAGGAATGTACATAAATAAATACTCCGATATTTATTTACAGCACCAACTTCCCCAACAAAAATTTTATGTCATCATTCTCTTAGGCAAAGCTGCCAAAAGAAGTGAAATACCCGGAATGACAAGTAGGAAACTGATGTCCTATAGCTACGTTGAAATATATATACAATAAAATAAAAAACTGTTAGAGCCCTTTTGAAATAAAACTGCCAAATATTTGCTTGGAGCGTGGCGGTAACTTGCTTCTACTTATCGAGAGCATTTACAATATCGAGCTAAATTATATGAAAAAGTACGCGTGAAAAAAATACAGTATCAACGTTGTAGTCTCACATGGCACTGGTAATTGGTAATCAAAAGAACATATAGTACACCCATTTTTCCGTGCACCATTCACATCTGTCACATTAAAAAAAATATGCTTTGAAAATTTAAAAACACAACTTGTTTCCGCCCGGGATCGAACCGAGGACTTTCCGCGTGTTAGGCGGATGTGATAACCACTACACCACGGAAACACGTGATTCAGTTTCGTTCCACTTCATATTTACGTAACTTATAGATTTCGATAAACTTACGTGCACGCCGCGAGGTAAGTATAACTAGACAGCGCCTATGACTTAGCATTCTTGATTGTAAGGTCTCAAGTACTACCAGCTACCAACTTTCTTCCACAGAATCATTTCTTGTATGCTGCAATCAGCAGAGTTACAAATTGCGTCACACTAGATTTTCACGATCCATTGTGCTGGGAAATATCGGTAACGAATTGGCAACCATATTCACAAGCATAACTCACCATCGTTACCTTCCCCAGATTCCTAATGTTAACGTTTTTTTTTTATCGATCGCGTCCTGAACAATTCGTGTTTGTGTGCTGCAAATCCTTGACCAGTCAGGGGAGTCACTTGCACCCTCGCAGACCCCACGATTCGGGAAATGTGTGTGTGTGTGTAAGAGGGAAAACGGAATTATGGCCTATTGTGTGTGCTTATTTCAAAATTAAAGTCGTAGTCCTAGAAGTAACGCTCCTTATGAATTCATACATGACACGAGTCCCGCATTTGGCAGCTTTCTATGTCAAATACAGTCATGTGACATACGAATATAGGGATTTCGGTATAAAAGACAATTACCAGGCTAACAAGTTAAAAAAAAAAAAAAGACAGCAATATCAGACTGATGAAAGGGTTGACATATATTCAGCCTTTACCAGCATACAAGAAAAGATTTTGTGGAAGAATGTTGGTTTCTGGTAGTACTTAAGACCTTGCAATCAAGAAAGCCAAGTCATTGGCTCTGTCTAATTACCTTTTTAGCGGGTTGCACGTAAGAGATTATCAAAGTTTACAAGTTACATAATTTTCGTAATTGTTAAGCTAAACTAAAATCGGTCACAATGTTTCCGTGGTGTAGTGGTTATCACATCCGCCTTACACGCTGCAGGTTCGATCCCGAGCGGAAACAAGTTGTGTTTTAATTTTGTTAATTTTCAAAGCAACCTTATTAATGTGACAAATTTACATTGGTGGTTTGCTCGCAGCTGGCTATCGAGTCCCTTAGTGTTGACAATCTCGAGTCAGTGTTTTCTCGCGTCGCGGGGGTTTCACGAATTACGTTATTTATTACTTCGGTGTTTTCTTTCATTTACTTACTTATCTTACTTATTACAATTTCGAACCAAATCAGTTTGTGAATGTGTGATATCATTTATAGTTTCCGTTTACTCCCTGATCTGTGTCATTAATATTTGTGTAACTTCACTTTTGTGCTGTGCTGCCGTCTGCTCAACTTCATTTCGATGTTGTTCTAACATAGCATTTACTTGCTTTAGCTTTGATTCTAACCGCGAATTCACATTGTGAATTTACTGGGTGATTTTTTCTTTTAGCATTGCAATTTGCTAAGTCACTTTTGTCTATAATGACGCATTTTGTGAGTAAATTCGGTTTTAGTGTTGCACTTTGCTGAGTAAATTCAGTTTTTAACTGAGTGGCCGACTGCTGAATCATATTTACTATAGTAACTAACAGATTTTGTTCGTCACTTCCCCTATTCATTTCGGGGTTAATAACGTTATATATCTATGTTTACTGAAACTTCGTTTACATTTACAGGCAAGCCAACATCAGTTTGTGAATCCATATCAGAATTTCCAACATTTAATGTTTCCTTTGTGTACTTCATGTCGGTATTGCCTTTCCTACTTCTTGAAAAAATATGAATTTTTGAATTTATCATCATACATAAGCTATTGATATTCTTTTATTTTGTACGTAATTAGAATCAAATTGCCGAACTTTTTTTCATGGCTGCAGCAAGTTTGGCTGACATTTTTATGTGACATAAGGGTGTATCTATTCAAGCTTCACACAAAACTACACTGTAAGGTTACAGAATTACAAATTATACTAATGTTTTATTAATGGGAGTGTATCCGTGTTTATTTATAAGCGAAAATTATGCAATGTAACATAAATTTAAAATGTGTAACAATTAAACATATATATATGAATAACGATCAATATTTGAGCCGGATTTGAATTTCAAATAAATGTCTTATGTAAATGAGTAAATTATATAAGAATGTTGCTTTAAACCTGTTATTCATTTTGAAGTCCTATTTGAAGTGCATATACACAAATTTTATAACTAGAAGGCTCTTTATACCTAAGGGCCTTATAATAGTTAAGACCAAGAAATCATCTTCAATTTATGATGCACTGTGAAAGTTGCAGTAGTTATTGCATGAGAACTGACAACCCTGGCCAAATTATCCACTTGTGGATTATCCGGCAAAGTATTTTTCTTAGTATGGACAATTTCATAATATATCATCAAACTGCAGAAAATTTTCCAATTTAATTTCTTGCAAAAAGCGAACATTATTCTGTTTCTGCAAAAGAACTATTTTTAATATCTCGAAATTCATGTCGACTCCCACATTAATTTGTCGCCACTGAAGTTGCTGAACGTATCTATACATAGACAAAGCATTGATTTCTTAATTTCTGCACACTGCCTATCAAAACTAACTCAGGAAAGGCTGTCAAACGAATAATTTTGAAAAGTAGGCCTAAATTTAAATAAATTATTATAACGTAAAATAATTATGAATAAGGGAATTTGTTGCTGCCGTGGGAATATTTACTGGACTGCATCTTGTCCTTTCGGCGTTTTAATTCCCGACCGCAAATTTTTACAATTCAAGCCACACACCGAATCCAGTCTATATTATCTCTTGCTAGATGATAGACACTGAACACAATTCCTTTTATTCTTCGCGTGTTTCTAATTTCTTTGATGGATGGTTTTCTTGTCGTATTTTTTGCAGCTTTTTTTGTTCCCAAATTCTATACTGTTTCTTAACTTGAGATAAATTCAATGGATTGCTTTCGTCGTGTCATCCCAAAATTAGAGGGCGTAGGTTCTGGACTTAACTCCATCAAATGCTTCTTAGGTGAGTACTGTATGAAATCAACATTGTCTATCCGTAATTGGTCAGAAAAACTAGATTCAACATTCTGATTCAACAACGAAAATGGCGATCATGTCCTAGGAGTATTCATATCGGTCTCTGCAGTGACTGAAGTTGTAGCTGGATCATTGGTTCTTGGTAGCAATTCCGACAGGAGGTTACCGATATCACTTCTGTAGGCTCTAAATAGGACTATCAGAATTCCTAAGCACATCTGTGGGTCTGTAACCACAGCACTTGCTGATTTTTTATCCTAGGGATATTTGGGGTGTCTGAGAATAACACCTTATCATTTACTACAGAAGTATTCTCGCGATAATTCAATTTTAAATATCGGCAATGATTAAAATGTGACCTGGTACTGCAATTTAATTCAGTGGATGTACTCCCGTTTCACGAAAACCAGTTGTGGAATCATCAATGATTCATATTACAGCCTTGTGGTTAGTATTTACGTTGCTAAGCAAAATTATTTAAGCAATTATTTTTCACTTGTGCTCTCAGAAACGATATTTATGGTATAAAGAAGAGGCTATATTTCGAAATATATTTACTAAACAAATGATAGCAGTGGTATTTGATTCTAATCTGTCTTGTTAATCCATGGCTATATTTTACGAATATAAATAACGACATGTACAGGTCATGGTACCAGAATTATCGCAATATGATAAATTATAATGTTGTGATATACTTCGAATGTTTTCAACAAATGAATATTCCTCTGCCCAAATTAAAAAACAGCACTAAAGTAATTACCTACCGTAAAAAATGTTTATACACTGTTCATGGAAAAGTTAGCTCTTTTAGGCCATAGTTAGTTGTTTTCTATCAGCCATTTTTCATCCATCCACCAATTATTAAAGTATAAATTGCCGTGTAAGTAATAAACGCAGTGTACTATTTCACCGGACTTGAAAGTTGACGTCAAAGGCTACAGCAAAATACATTTATTGACTATTATTCCAAATAAAAGAACTTCAGAAAGTGCTCATTTTAACGTGAAAAGCTTATATTAACATTTGTGCATACTGAAATAAATTCGTTTCCTTTTTTTTTTTAATGCATATCTATAAGTGTAAGAATTAGCATATTTGTAAAATATTAACTTTTCTAATGATTCCACAGTTTCATTTTTCCTATACATGAATTAAGTGATCAGGCCCTTGGGAATGCTAATTTCACGTATGGTGAAAGAATACACCATATGTGTTCAATAGATACTAAAGAGGACTTTAAAAATCGCTCAGTTTACCACGAACAACATTTAGATATCGTTTATAAGTTTTAAAGCAAGTATCATAATTTAAAAATTACTGAAAAATAATATAGCTGTCTTGAGTATTTTTCATTGGTGTGAAATAGAGAATAGCTTAGTGAATATATTTACTGGGCGTCACCCCCACACTGTACTGTCCCTTTTTGTGGGAGAAATGCTCAAAATGAATATAAAATACGTGCCCAGGAAACATAGTTATACTTATACATGTTTATTTTCACAAGTTAGCACTGTATACTTTGCATTCATTAAAATCTAGGACGTATATCATACACACAATATTACAACACCGTGCACATTACTTAAACTTGTTCGGGAGATGTACATAAATAAACATATAACTTTTAAGCTATTTCGCTTCGCCCAGCTCGTTTATTTCCGAATGGTAGAAACAAACATTGCTACTCAGATTGCGACCCCGGTGATTTCATTGTGAATTACACAGAATGAAGCATCTCTCCCACTGGAGCATCTCTTCTAAATTTACCCTAAGTGTAAGGAGTCAATTTTTTCTTTTATGGTTTTTTCATCGTATACACATTTATTCAGCTCACTAATATACTGAATGTGGTTAGCTATTACAAAGTTGTTTTCATATTTCTTCATTGCGACATTTTTTCCAAAGCCACTTAAATTTATCTGAGAAGGGTAGATGCAAGGGTCATTAAAACGTCCTACTCTAAAACCGACTAAACTGTTGTAAAATAAATTGGTTGCAGTCACACATTTCTGGTAATACAAGTCACTTAACTAACAGAACATTTTTATACTGATATTCGTTTATTTCCTTCGTGAGACACAGTCAACACAAATATGTTCTATCATTTTAACGTTAACTTAAAAATTAATTAATTGTACATTTTGCCCGGTGTTGAACTAAGGACTGTCCGCGTGTAAGGTGGATGTGTTAAATACTACACCAATAGAAATATTAATTGTTGTTGGGGTGAGGATGTGTGATCTAATTAGTTCTGTTATTCTAACATTTGCAGAATCAAGTAAGAAACCAAAAATATTCCGAATAGAAATGAAACAAAACATTTTCTACTCTTTGTCATATATCTTAACAAATACCTGCCATACATACCATATATCACATAGGGCGACGTCCATAGTTGTATGCATTACAGCCAATGAGAAATTTAATAGTATCTATTTGAATAATTTTGTGTCGAAATCTTGTACTCAGTTTTCAGTCTTCCGTACAGTACTGTCTTACAATTTAGTGTGTATGTAAGTGAGAGGGCTTAATCTTACTCGAACACGAATCAGCTGTCTATATAGCAAATAGTAGATTTGAAACATAGCATCTGTAAATAAATGATCAAAATCACTGTAAACCGAAAATTGCAAGCAACTTTGAAATTTTCTTCTGTAGTGTTTGCTTTTTGTAAACTTTCATTATTATAAACAAAATATCTCAATCAAATACATTGAGCCACCAATATAAGAATCTTAACATTGCGGCCCCGATTCGATCCCAGTTTCTAGAGGCGGGTTTTTTTTTTCGAACGGAATAAATTTTACTTGGACTGTGTTAGTAACTTGATTTTACATATCGAGAGAAGTTCAGTATCGAGTTACACTATTCGAAAGTACATCTGAAAAAAAAAAAAAAAAAACAATACTCTACCGTCACATGGCTCCAGTAACACAGATAACATATATTACGATATTTTTTCTGCTCACCAGTCACTTATATTACATTAAATGGAGATGTTTCGAAAACTGAAACACATTTCAAAGGCAAAATGCCTCCGCCCGGGATCGAGCCGAGGACCTGCCGCGTGTTAGGCGGACGTGATAACCACTACACCACGGAAAAGCTCTGTTTACGTACCTGTACGACTTAATATTTACATTATTTCTGCGACCACAGGAATTCAGTAATCATGATGTGCGTGCCACAATGTATTAAAATATATTTAATACGTATCACCGTCAGTCCTAGAAAGCAAGGTCTCAAGTGATTCGAAGTGCCAACTCTCTTACCCAGAAACTTTTACCTCATGTTGGAATGACTGAATCTATTTCAACAAGTTCATCTGCCTTAAATGTATGCCTACTTTGAGCTTGCTGCAAGAGTAATTGTCCTTTATACCGAAATATGAATATACATATGTCACATGTTTGTGTTTGACACAGAAAGCTGCGCCGACGATTGAGTGGCCAGCTGTGTTACCTGCATTAGGTGCGTATTCACAAGGGACATTATTTCTAAGACTACGACTTTAGTTTGACCTCTAAGAAAATTTAAGGGTAGTGTAGATTAAAAATATCTTGCCGTCTTAACCAATACAGAGATTTCCAAAATATGACATGCTGTTTATGCGGACACGAGATCATAGTGAGTATCATGTAACACTTGCCAATGCAGAGAAATATTCATAATTATTTCCTCTGTCAGCAGAGTTACATATTGCTTCACGCTAGAAGTTCACGATCCAGTGTACTGGGAAATATCGGTAACGAATTGGCAATCATATTCACAACCAGAACTCACCACCGTGACCTTCGTCGGATTATGAATTTGATGCTTGTTTAATGATCGTGTCCTGAACAATTCGTGTTTGTGTGTTGCAAACCCTTCGCCATTCAGGGGCGTAACTTGCACCCTCGCGGACCCCCAATTCGAGAATTATGATAATGAGTTGTGTGTATGTGTGGGTGAGAGGTGGAGAGTGCTATGGAGACAGCAAACTTTGGCTTATTACGTGTGCTTATTTCAAAATTTACTTAGTTCAATAGATGAATTTATTATATATGTGTATATTTCCATCCTACTTGTTATGTAAAGACTATTTTCGTAGACTAATGCACAGATTTAGTGATATTCGAGTGAAAATCATAAATGTTAATTAATTGTGAATTCATTCGTTTAGTGTAAAACTATTCATGTTTAGTGGTAGGGGACCCAAAATGTGCTTTTTTTATTTTTTGGGGCCGGGGGGGAGGGAGCAAATAAACACGTATCGCCAGTAACCGGTCTTTCTTTCCGCTCAGCTGTCATTCAAGATCCTCGGCAGTCTCCGTTGGCGCCCAGGCGGTTCCATTTTGCCCGCAGTCGTCTCTTGATTGCCAGGCGTAGTCGTCTGCTTTGCTAGGCTGTCGCATTAACCTCCGGTACTCTGTTCGCCATGACGTCCACCTCTGACTGCGATTCGAGACGGTCTCCCCCGAACACCGCTTCACGCCATCCCTTCCAGCGCGCCCAGGCGGCGCGGCGGTTTCCTGAAACACATTTCACACATGCCCGTAGAACAGATATTCCCACAGAGCGTCTCGCAAAACGCACACAATAGACACATTTACTGATCCTCGCCAAAATGGAAGCAGCGCAAGTAGACAGGCCTCTGGCTCGAAATCACGTTCACAACTCATATACACTTGTAAACATTGCAATATCCAAATCACAACATCATTTAATTACAACACAAGACTGATTTTATTTGTTCAGAGCCTTACTCTCTTTACACACTAGTAAATAATGCAACGACAAATATATGTTCTACTCAATTGTTTACAATTCAAGATTGCTTCCACTTGTTCATGTCCTGTTTCTTCAACAAAGCAAACAAAAATGTGATTACAATAATTTTACATTAGGCTACAGGTGATTCTACAAATGGATGCTGATACGTCACTCAATCTCTACACATCTATTGTTATGTAGGTGGTCAGACAACTGGTTCGGTAACTATGATGAATGTGCAGGCTTTTTTACGCTACCAATTCACACTTTGCATGCTTAGAGTTAGCTACACGTTGTCAGTGCTACTATACCACTTAGATGGCTTAAGCGTTCTGCCATACTTGGTTTAAGAGACAGAATTATTGCAGTCATTAAGAAATGTATTGCCTACCAAATTAGCATCCTGCCCTTGTGTTGTTGCCTGTTCATTTCTTAATTCTTGTACATTCACATGTCCCTCCTGTTCCGTAAAATCACGAAAACCATACTTAAAGAGAACCTTAACATCACTTGAATCATGACGTGGGTTCACATTGTGTTCATGATTAGCCTTTGCCTTTCCTCCCTCCAGACACCTAATGTCTGCATAATCATAGTACATGCTCTTTCTACCGTTTGTTTTATCTGAGCATAGCACATTGGCAGAACGTTCAACAATGTTACCATTAGGCATTTTGACTGCATTAAGACGTGGGCGATCAGCTGATCTAATAATTGTGGCACTCTGTAGCCACCCTTTAGATGTTTGCACTCTAACAGCCCCTGACAGTGGTGGCTCCTCTGTTCTACCATGTTTATCATAATAGTATTTCTGTTGTTTCTAGTTATCTAACAGACACTTATGAACAGCTGTATGATCAGGTTGCAAAGGGTTCAGAAACTATGTAACAACAGGAATGAATGTCCTAAGCAGCCTACCCATTAGCAACTGAGATGGGGAAAGAGTGTTACGAGTCTCAAGAAGAACCAACTCCAATTCCTTATCAACAGCAGCTTTCTTAGGGGTTTCTTCATGGTCTGGATGTAGCGTTCTGACATACTATTTGACTGAGGATAATTTGGACTAGATGTAGCATGAAGAAAGTTCCATCATATAGCAAATTTTTTGAACATCCCCAAAGTAAAATTACTGCCACCATCTGACATGACCACTGCTGTAATGCCAAACCTAACAAAATTATTTTTTAAATACTTTATAACAAAGTGACTGGTTTGCCTTTTAAGTTTTTGAAGCTCAACCCATTTTGAATAATAATCCACCATAAATAATTATGGCTTATTATGTAAAAAGAAAACACCAATCCCTGCCTTTTGCCATGGGCGATCAGGGACTCGATGAGTGAGCAGGGGCTGCTTAGGTTTAGATTTTCGACACATGTTACACACATCACAGCTGGTTACAAAATTGACTATCTCAGATGTTATGCCTGGCCAGAATACTGTACCACATGTTCTTTGTATACATTTTTCTGTACCTTGGTGAGCACCATGAATGCAACTAAGTATCTCTTGTCTCATACCTTTGGGAATAACAATAGCGTTTCTCTTTGACAAGAACATATGGCAAGTAAGGTCCTTACTGTATGTCCCGAATTTTCTCAGTTCTGGACGTACCTGTTGAAACTTACTAGGCCAGCCTAAAGAAAGAGTTTGACACAATTTTTGAAGTTCAATGTCTTTACTAGTGCACTCTTGTAATTCCAGCAATTTGTCAACAGTTATCCTGGAAGACAAAACCACAGAGCATACCTGTAATTCTATATCCCTCTCAATTTCAGTACCCCTTTCTGTTGAACGTTGTTGGGCTTGACATACGCGAGACAGGATATCTATTATGAACATTTGTGAACTTGGTTAATATCCAACAGTTAATGCATACCGTTGAAATCGAAGCCGCATCCTCTGCAACCTAGCTGGGCAGTCTACTAAATGTTTTTTTTTATCGTGACCAGTGGCTTATGATCTGTTTCCACAACCTACTTAGTATATATATATTGGTTGGAGTGCTCTGCTACAAAAACTATAGCAAGTATCTCCTCTATTTGGGCATAACGTCTTTCAGTGATTGTAAGAGACTTTGGCGCATATGCAACAGGATGACCATTTTGAAGTAAAACAGCACCCAATCCACTTTGAGAAGCATCATCGGACAAGGTTGCAGGTTTGTTGACATAATATTATGATGAAACTGGACTGCTACACAGCAATGCTTTAAGTTTTTCAAATGCTACAATCTGTTCCTGCTCCCGATGCCATTGTACACCTTTCTTTAACAAAACTCGAAGAGAAGCTGTAACTTCTGAAAGGTTGGGAACAAACTTTGACACATAAGTTACCATGCCCAGAAACTGCTCTACATCTTTCTTGCATGACATAGTATCAATGTTTTGGATGGCAGCTATTTTCTCGTTATCAGGTTTTATATCATTTTCAGTTAACACATGGCACATTTAGTGAACTTGTGTCAACCCAATTTTCCATTTTTTCTGTTGAATTTAACACAATGTTTTGCGGCTCTTTTCATCAGAACCGCAAGTCTTTGGTGGTGCTCCTGTTTGATACTGCGCCAACATATAATATCATCGACATAGGTGAGTACCCCAGGCAACCCTTCAAAGACTTCTCCAAACTGTCTAAGAAATACTTCTTGAGCAGAACATATACCATGTGGCGTATGCAAAAACTTGTACTGCCCCATGGAGTGTTAAAAGTACAATATTCAGTGCTACTCTCACTCAATTTAATTTGTCGGAACCCCTGTGATGCATCAAGGACACTGAAATACTTTGCACCCGCCATCTGGGTAGTGACCTGCTCCACTGTTGCTAATGGAAAATGTTCCCTCATCAACACATTACTCAAGTCCTGGGGGTCCAGGCAAATTCTAATACTATTGTCACGCTTGTGAGCAATAACAAAAGAATTGACCAATTCTGCTAGCTTCTTTACTTTAGCGATAATGATCTCATTAACCAACCTATCCAATTCCTTCTTTAGGGGTTCTCTAAGTGCAATGTTGTATTTTACGACGTGCATGGATCACAGGTTTGGCATCTTTTCGGAGTATCATCTTGTATGTACCGGCCAGTGCCCCTATACCTCTAAAACACTGAGGGTACTTACTAATTAGTTCAAAGAGGCCCGAATCGTGAACTTTAGTATCTACAGATTCTGATTTTCGAACCAGGTATAGTATAATGCAACTATACATACCCAGAATGGGAAATAAATGTGTTTATTTCTCAACCACATAAAATTCTAATACCCGAACCCGACCGTTGTAGGTGCACTTAAGGTAACACTTGCCTAGAAAATGTATCTTTTCTCCTAAATAATTAACTTATCTCACATTTGA